AAACAATGTAGGAAAGGAGAGCTTTCAGCAGCTAATGAAGTGGAGGGTGACTAAGGAGAAACCGAGAGCAGGAGAAGCAGGAAGGAACTAAATGTTGCCTGTGTTATTTTGTCAATAGGAATAGGTCTTAAATTTTATGATTGAAGTCCTTGAAAAATTAGTGCTTGATGACATTTCCATTTACAGACAATGTTGGAGAGTTAGTTTTTCATATTGGAGGGTTTTTCTTTTTTATTTTAGCAAGCTGAAAAAATTTGCTCATTAACAAAGATTTTTGAGGCCATTTTCACATAATAGCTATTTTCACCTGATGCAGTCATGTGTGTTTATACTCACTTTGATTTTTTATATATTATTTAATAGCATTGATGGAAAAAACTCTTCTTTGTGACCATTACTTGGGTGTTTAATATGTTCTCTAGGCAGGTCCCATGAGGTTTTCTCTTCTGCCTACATGAGGGGAAAGATACCCCTTTGGATGTTGAACAGATCTTCTCTTCCTATTTTCTCTCCTTGAGACTCCTTTAAACTGGCTGATGTAGAATGTGTACAAAGGATCCCATACTTGTTGGTTAGCCTGTTGATTTCTATTTTTGACTATGTTTCCAAATGGAGTTTTGACCCCAAGCTTTCATTCTTTGTGACGTATCAGCAGCATTTCATGGAGCTGGCCACTCTCTTTTTCTAGATACACCTTTTTTTTCCTATTTCCTTCCAGATGGCACACTCCTGGTTTTCCTTTGGTATCAATGGATGCCCCTGTTCAGTTTTCTTTTCTTTTTTTTTCCTGGCCTCTGACCCCAGAGCCCAGTTTTTCTACCTTGGAAGCTTGTGTCTGATTTCCTCCAGAACTCTGCCCCCAGCCCCCCACAGCCCAGCCTCATGCACCTTTTCCCTTTTTTGATTATGCTTTTTATTCTTTCACTGTAATAAATCATGGCCATGATAATAACTATATGATGAGTGCTGTGAGTCCTCCAAGTGAGTCTTTGAGTGGTATTGAGTTTGGGTAATATTCTGCTCTGGGCTGCAAGAGAATGATGTATCTTTATATTGTAGTCTAATAGTATATAGGTGTATAACAACTTTCCATATATATCTGGAGTATATAATGAGACTGTGTGGCGCTTATTAAGTACTGTTACTTCCCTCTCAAATAAAAAAAAATCTAGTAAAAGTGTAATAAAGTGTTTATTACATTTTTTGTATACTTGCTGCCAGGTTTGAAGTTTAGTCATCTGGCAATCTGTATGGTTATATAATGGCATTAGTAATAACAAGTGATGCAGATGTTTTTCAGAAACTCTCTCACATATGTTAAAACTCATTATAAGCTTATTTACCTCCTATGTTTTTTTCCCTTCACTTCCATCAACACTTCGCCTTTATCTGACTAATTTCTTTTTTAGTGGAAAGAGAGGCCTTGGATGGAATTTTCTTTTTTCTTTTTTTCCTATTGTTTGTTTCTTTAAACTTATCATCTGAAATAATATACTCACATAGAAATTGTAAAAGTAATGATTTCCCAGTGGTAGCAGAACAATTATCAAACTACTAAATTGATGTTAGTATAATACTATAACTAAACTATAAATCTTACTTTAAAAAATCTTAGATTTCACTATGTTTTATATTATATACACTTTTCATCTTGGAATATAGCTCAAAGAAATTAAAATTTATCCCATGAAACCACCACTAAAATCAGGGTACAGAACTTTTCCATCATCCCAAAGAATTTCCCTTCTCCTAGCCCATTAAATTCACTACCCCCCAACGCTGGCAATCACTGATCTGTTTTCCATCAGTTTAATTTTTTCATTTTGAAAATGTTATGGAAATGGAATTATTTAATATGTGATCTTTGGGGGTTGGGCTTTTTTTTCACTCAGCATAATACCCTTGAGATCCATCCTTGTTGTTGTTTTTTCATTTAAAAAAAATTGCTGAGTTTTATTCTATGGTGAGGATTTACCATAGTTTGTTTATTCACACATTGAAGGACACTTGTTTCTTTTCTTCAGTGTAGGTTTTAAAAAAAAATACCATAAAAAGGTAAAAACCGTAACAATGGCTAAGGTTTATTGAGTGCTTATATGTAGCAAGTATTGTGCTAATAATACCATGTTCCTTTTTTTCAAACTAAAAGTTTTTATTTTTGATTTTGAATTGTGGTAACATATATACATATACATAACATACATAACATAAAATACATACGTATACATAACATTACCATATGCATATACATATAACATACATATACATAACATAAAATTACCATCTTAACCATTTTTAAGTGTACAGTTCAGTAGTATTAAGTACCTTCACATTTTTGTGCAACCAGTCTCCAGAACTCTTCACCTTACAAAACTGAATCTCTATACCCATTAAACAAAAGCTCTCCACTTCTTTCTCACTCCAAACCTGGCAACCACCATTCTACTCCATGAATTTGGCTACTCTAGATACCTCATATAAGTGGAATCATGCCGTATTTGTCTTTGTGACGGGTTTATTTCACTTAACATAATGTTCTCAAGGTTCATCCATGTTGTTGCATGTGTCAGAGCTCCCTTGTATGTATATACCACATTTTGTTTATCCAGTCATTCATTGATGGACACTTGGGTTGCCTCTCCCTTTTAGATATTGTGAATAATGCTGTTATGAACATGGGCGTACATATCTCTTTGAATTCTTGTTTTCATTTCCTTTGAATATATACCCAGAAGTGGAATGGGTGGATCATATGGTAATTTATATTTTTGTATTTTTATTTATTTATCTATTTATTTGTTTTTTATTTTATATTTTTATTTTTTTAGAGGGAGAGATCGCAGGGGAGATGGGTAGAGGAGAGGGAGAGAGAGAATCTTAAGCAGGCTCCATGCTCAGCACGTAGCCCAACATGGGGCTCTATCTCACATCCCTGAGATCATGACCTGAGCTGAAATCAACAGTCAGATGCTTAACTGACTGAGCCACCCAGGAGCCCTGGTAATTTGTATTTTTAATTTTTTGAGGAACCACCATACAGTTTCCATAGCGGTTGCACTCTTTTAGATTTTCACCATCAGTGCACAAGGGTTCCAGTTACATCACATCCTTGCCAACACTTGTTATTTTCTGGGTTTTTTGTTTGTTTGTAGTAGCCCTAGTGGGTGTGAGGTGGTATTTCATTATGTTTGTGATTTGCATTTCCCTAATAATTGGTGATGTTGAACATTGTTTCACATGCATTTTGGCCATTTATATATCTTCTTTGGTGAAATGTCTGTTCAAGTCCTTTGCCCATTAAAAAAATTTTTTGGTGACATGTATGAGTTCTTTATGTATTCTGTATATTAACCCTTTATTAGATATATAATTTGTAGATATTTTCTTCCATTCCATAGGTTGCCTCTACTGCATTCTTATTTATTCCTCACAACATCTTTCTTTATTTTATAGATGAGGAAGCTGACTTTTAGTAACTCTCCACTGATTTCATGGTTTGTATGGAACACGGATTCAAATTCACACTGACCTTCTCCAGAGTCTACAGTTTTCACCACCACATGATTCTCAGCTAATTTCTTGGCCAACTTAATGAAAGCAAGTGGTCTTGCTTTCTGTGATTAGCCTATGTGGAAGGCCTACTTTAAGAAGCAGATTGATTTACATTTTTAAATTTAAATTTTAATTTATTTTTAAAGATTTTATTTATGTATTTGACAGAGAGAGAGAGAGAGAGAGCACAGGCAGGGGGAGTGGCAGGCAGAGGCAGAGGGAGAAGCAGGCTCCCCACAGAGCAGGGGAGCCCAATGTGGGGCTCTATCCCAGGACCCTGGGATCATGACCTGAACCGAAGGCAGACACTTAACCAACCGAGCCACTCAGGTGCCCTACATTTTTTTAAATGTATAGTTGATCCTCATTATTTGCAGATTCCCTAGTTGTGAGTTTACCTATTTGCTAAAATTTATTTGTAATACCAAAATCAATACTCATGGTGCTTTTGGGTCATTCATAATCATGCACAGAGTGGCAAAAAATTTGAGTCACTTGACGCACATATTCCAGCAGATATCATCCACAGTAACTGCCTACTTGTTTCAGCTATTATACTATATACAAGTATCCTTTTCATGGTCTACTTAGTGCCATGTTTTCTACATCTCTGTGGTTTGGGTTTATTTATTTGTTTTTTTAAATTTTTGTTACTTAAAAAGGTCCCCAAATGTAGTGGTGAAGGGCTGTCTAATGTTCCTAAGTGTGAGAAGGTTGCTATGTACCTTATAGAGAAAATATATGTATCAGATAAGCTTCCTTCAAGTAAGAGTTATAGTGTTCTTGACTGTTGAGCTTGAATGTTCGTGAATCAACAGTATATTAAATAAAGTATCTTTAAACAGAGACACATAAAAAACAAAGTTATGTATTGATTGGTTCATGAAAATATTGTGACTAGAGGCTCACAGGAGCCTAACTTTCTATTTCCCCTAGGAGAAGTAGTTCAGTATTTGCTAGAAGTTCAGTATTTGCTAAGGTTTGCTGCAGCCTTATAGAATGGAATGTCTTTGAATAAGGAAAATTGACTGCATTTCCTAACAATTATTTAAAGCAGTGTAGCATGAAGAAAAGGCTCATTTATGTTGGATACATGAACTTCCATAGAATCCCAGGGTGTGTGATGTTTGTGTTGTAATTCAAGAAGTCCAATGGGCTTTCACATTTACTATATAAATATCAATGGTAGATGTGGCTGGCATATCCTCATTCTAGATGAGGAATCAAAGTAGAGGGAGATTTTATGGGTTGCCTGAGTCACAGGTGGTTAGTGATATAGTGGTATAAATGCCTGTACACTCAGTTTTCCTGGTTGTGTTTTGGTGTGAATTTCCCTCTTCCACTTTGCCTTTCTACAGTTAGAATGGGGAAAGTGTGTGAATGCTTTTTGAGTACCTGTAATGTATCAGTTCCAGTGTTAGTCATTTGAACTCATTTGCTCTTCTCAGCAATCCATTGTGACAAGAGATGCTGTGGTCTTTCCAAAGACCAAAATGAAGGAAAATCAGGTATTTTGCTAAGGAATTATGTACTAATTAGTGCTGTTAGAATTTGAATTTTGATCCTCCAAAGAATATTTTTTGATACTTTGTGTCATTCTCTACCAAATGTTCCAGAAGAAAGAATTGGCCCAACATTTATGTATAAAATTTTTCAGACTGACTCTCCAATGGCTTTGCAAAATATCTGATCATGTTTCCAGTTGTTTGGATTTGTGGTTTCACACATTTCTGCAAAATATAAAAAATTAAATTTAAATTCAGAAATGTTTTTCTTAACATTGTCCAAGTTTAATTTGCTATGCTTTAAGAGATAATTGATTTTTTTTTTTTAAGATTTTATTTATTTATTTGACAGAGAGAGGGACAGCGAGAGAGGGAACACAAGCAGGGGGAGTAGGAGAGGGAGAAGCAGGCTCCCCGCTGAGCAAGGAACCCGATGTGGGGCTCGATCCCAGGACCCTGGGATCATGACCCGAGCCGAAGGCAGTCGCTTAACCAACTGAGCCACCCAGGCGCCCCGAGATAATTGATTTATAATTCATGGTGTGAAGTAGATTTTTACTATAAATAAATGCTTTCTTTTTATAGTGAACGAAAATGTCTTTATTTAAAGCCCGTGATTGGTGGTCTACTGTTTTGGGAGAAAAAGAAGAATTTGATCAAGGCTGTTTGTGTTTGGCTGACATTGACAATACTGGAAATGGACAAGGTAAGCAACTTATGGCCGTGCCTCTTGGAGGAAAGCTTTACAGACATAAAATAAAAATGACTTCGTTTTTTAAAGTATACTTATTCACTTTAAAGTGTACTTATAGAACTTAAGTGAACTGTCATAATTATGCCCTAATTTTGAAGGTAGTTTTCCTTATAATATTTAGGTAGCAGACTGATAAATATAGTTCTTACTTCTGTTTCGCTCTTTGTTTTTCTGGTTTGTGTTGATTCTGTCATATAACTTGGAACTGGAAAAATATTACAAGGCAATATTTAATTTGTTTTCATTTGTTGCAAAATTTGTTTTCATTTTTTTGCAAAATTAGAGCTACTAAAATATTTTTAATTTTGAAGTATTTTTAGAAATTATTTTCAAGGAAAATTATATTTTAAAAAAATTTTAAATCTGAAAGCCATTCATACCAGAATGGAAAAGTTATTCTAGCTCTATTTGTTGATAGAAAACAATTATTAAATCATTACTTTCATTTTCATATTATGATACTAGAAATAGCATTCTGTCTTATATATTTGTTTCTCTTCGCATCTTCATATTTTTTGAAGTGGTCTCTAAAACATTGTAGTTCTGTATCATTGCTATTTGAAACTTATATTTGGTTTTAATTATTTATAGTCATTAGCTTCTTCTTTTCTTTTTTGTAATCCGGATAGTCGTTGGCCTCTTAAAAAGAAAACTTACAATCATTCTTTCATTCAATGTGTATGAATATTGTCTCCTTACATTTTCTTTATTTTATTTCTCTTGTGTATAACAAAAACAGTAGAATCTTGGTGGCAAGGTGAAAGGAGAAAATTATATTGGCAAAGAAGAATGGGAGGTACTAAGCTGTACTGAGCACCTAAATTGTTTCTAAGGAAAATCTGGGCCCTGCCCTCCCACTGATAGGAGATGGGAAGGTCTTCTACTCAGAGGGTGTCCTGAGAGGTTCCTCAAAGATTATCAGCTTTGTCTCCTGCCTGTTTGTTAAAACTATGATTCCCTTATTATTTGGCAATACAGAATACTCAGGCTATAAAAATATATGCCAAAGAGAACAATTTCAAACCCATTTTTGTCCAAACTATCTAAAGCTCAATTTGGTTAGAAACTATCCGGATTGATTGTCTGTATAGCTTACTGTTCACTCATCATTTCTATTAGAGCTCTTCACTGGGGTGCCAGCAATGGGTTACCAGTTTGCTTCCTCCCAATTTGTGGCCAGCTGTGAGAAGCCTCCTCTATTTTCCCAAGGGTACTATACAAAAATCACTTCATATGTGTGTCCCACATAGAAAAAATATTGCCTATCATTTCTCAAAGCTTGGACCACTGTGCAGTATCATCATATTCTGGGGTGATTGTTATATATGAAGATTTTCTATCTCAGATTTATAGCTCCTATAAGGCCATATTTCCCAAAGGTAGGTGGATTGGAAGGGTGGGCTTAGGTGTCTGCATTTTTGATAAAATCCAAAGTTGAAGGATGACACATAACAGTTTAAGAATAATTCCCATTGATCTTATAGAATGGAAGGTAAATGAGAGCAGTTTGGGACATGCTCTATTTGAGATAGGAATGTCTAGTAGGCAGAATAGAGGTAGCGATATTTTATTTTATTTTAATTTAATTTTTTTTTTTAGAGAGTGCACATGGAGCAGGGGATGGGGGCAGGGGGGAGAGGGAGAGAGAGAATCTTAAGCAGGCTCCATGCCTAACACAGAGCCCGATGCGGGGTTCTATCTCATGATCCTGAGATCTTGACCTGAGTCAAAATCAAGAGTCGCTTAACTGACTGAGGCACCCAGGTGCCCCAGTGGTAGTGATTTTTTTTTTAGACATTTTTTTTCTTAAGATTTTATTTATTTGTTTGACAGAGAGAGACATAGTGAGAGAGGGAATACAAGCAGGGGGAGCAGGAGAGGGAGGAGCAGGCTTCCCGCTGAGCAAGGAGCCTGACATGGGGCTCGATCCCAGGACCCCGGGATCATGACCCAAGCTGAAGGCAGACACTTAATGACTGAGCCACCCGGGCGCCCCCTGCGCCCCCCCCCTCCCCCCAGTGGTAGTGATTTTGAAGTGAGCCATATACTGGTTGTATTTGAAGCCCTGAGAATGTGTGAAAATGCACGGGGAAAGAAAGTGGAATAAGATGGAAAGAATCTTAAGACCATAACCTGAAGAATACAAGCATTAAAGGGGGAGGTTTGGGAAGGGTAGACAGTAATAGATTCTGAGAAAGGCAGGCAGAGAGGCAGAACTAGTTGGGCTGGTACCTGGGAGGCAAGGTTTAGTGACACGAAGACTGAAGTTTCCATGCCATTTAGCAACAAGTCATTCATTAGTGTTCTCCATGAGGGTGGATGAGTGGGCACAATGGTAACAAAATCTAGATTTGCAGTGACTGAAGGAGTAGGAGGTAGGGAAGACTGAGTGTTTATGGCCCTTTAAAGAAACTTAGCTGTGAAAGGAAGCATGGAGGATGATGACTGGCGGTAATGTAGGGTAAAGAGAAGTGGGAAAAATTCAATGTATAGCATAAAGGATATATTAAAGCAAGGATGGGGCATCTGACTGGCTTGGTTGGTGGAGCATGTGACTCTTTATCCCAGGGTTGTAGGTTTGAGCCCCATGTTGGGTATAGAGGTTATTTAAAAATAACATCTTAAAAAAAAAAATAGAGGGCGCCTGGGTGGCTCAGTTGGTTAAGCGACTGCCTTCGGCTCAGGTCATGATCCTGGAGTCCCGGGATCGAGTCCCGCATCGGGCTCCCTGCTT